TAATTCTCTCGACCAACCTTCTCTTTCTGCTTCAAACTCAGCTCTCAGGATTTCAATCTCTGATGGAACCACCTTAATGCGATCTTTCATAGAGATATCCTTATTTTGATCTCATAGAGGAATATTTTCATTTTTCCTGACAGATCTCCATTCCTCATAATCAGGAGTTAGCATTTCTTTTGCTGCTTTAGCTCGGATACAAAAAGTTTTTTTCCAAGCTGTAAAGGCTTCCATGATATTTATTTTATAATTTTTGCTGTGGAATGCGAACTCAGATGAATGTAATCCAGCAGTGACAGGTACAAATTGACGACCTTCGTACTGTCTTATGACCAGAAGTGGTGCATATCCAATTCCTCCCCACAATCCGAGCAGCATTATCCAATTGTAATCACCACATTTGTAAAAGAATTCTCTTTGGATTTGCCATGGGGCTCGTCAAACAATGTCATTGCTTTGCAGATTTCGAAAGGCATTAATCCACATATCTTTCTTAATTTCTTTCGGCCATTCTTGCTCCAGAAATTCTTTTAATGGTGAGTAATCCGTATTAAAGCGTCGGTATGAAACCTTTTCTGTCCTCCAGAAATGGCTACGGATCCAAACATATAACAATTGGGTACACCCTGAGAATCGTCCACCTCCTAGCTTTCTACAAGCATTTAACGATCTGAAAGTCTCTGCTAGAATTGCAGAAGCAAGATTAATCTTTTTTGGTAGCTGCTCAAACAAATCTACTACTGCAGCTTCAATATATCCCAATACTTTTGGGAAGATGACCACACCATACATACCCAGAGCAAATAGATCTAATCGTACTTTAGTGTCTGGATGACTCTGAATAAGTTCTTTAATGTTGGTCCAAGCAATGCCTTCGCTTTCGCCCTTTTGTTTTGTACGGGATGCCACCTATTCTTCTCGTACCCCGGTAATCTTTGCTAATTTAACTCGAAAGGGTTGAGTTTTAATTGACTTTGAATAATTTCGATTCTCCAAAGCCCCTTCTATATGTAGCAAAGTTGTGTACTCTTCAATAGTAGGGACCAAGTCCTCCTTATTGAGAGTGAAGCAATTGTACCATGGATTCCAGAATTGAATTAGGGCTCGAAGTAAGTCATCATCAACTTCGACATAGAGCAAATATGGGATGTCTCCGTAAGTCTGATAAAACTGTAATTTTTTGTTTGAGTCCCAACTTTCCCATATGCTTCGCAAATCTTGCATGTCATTTCTTTTTAGCGAAACTGGAGCATAACTGACCAAGTCCGATACATAGTCATCTTGCAGACTGTCTCCTCCTTGTCTTTGTAAGTCCTCATCCCACTGTCTTACTTCTGAGTTTAGAATTATTTGATTTGAACACTTTTTATCCATGAATGAAGGCTTTCCAATGAGACAATTAACACGAGGATCAATGCCTTTTATCTTGTATGATGCTATGCAAACAGAAGAAATAAAGAACACACAAAAAGAAATGAATTAGTTTACATAATAAAGAAATTTAATAATAATATCTACCTAAATATCCTTATTTAAACATGTTTTTTTCATAATTTAAATTCACATGTAATTTAATCAGTAAGAAAATAAATAAATTAAAAAGAAAGTTAGAATTCATTTCTCTTGTGTGTACACCTATTTTGGACAAAATTTTGGCATGGCTTCATATCGGAAGAGTTTCTAGGGTTTATTATATGCAGGGTTTCAGATCTAAGAATAAAGGTACCCGAATTGTCCTTGTTAGTGCCCCCTTGGGCTGTTAACCCTCAATCCTAGTCCATCACAAACTAAAGTGGATTGAGTTCAATTCGAGGGGATACACTTCTCTATGTCTGACACGGAGAATAAATTCTCACGAAGACATAGAGCATATGAACCCCGAAAGTTACTTGCTAGGTCTGACACGGAGAATAAATTCTCACGAAGACGTCGCTTTCACTCCCACTTAAAAGGGACAAACTCAATTATAGAGCTTTATATTATGCAATGCAAGTGTTGTGTGTGAGGAGAAATGTTCAAACCTCTGACAGAAAAAATAAATAATGAAATAAAATACTTGTAAATAAAATGAAATATAAATAAGAAAATATATAAATGCTATGAAAATAATAAGTATAAAAAATTTGAAAAGAATGAATTATAAATCAAATATATGAATTTTTAATTTATAATTAATAGAGAATATTTATAATTGATTTTAAAAGTTTGACGGTCCCCAGCGGAGTCGCCAAGCTGTCGTAACCGGTTTTCGTCCGGGCACGAAATATTTATTTGGCGGGAAAAGTGATGTGAATAAATGGTTTTGAAAATAATTTGGGAGTCGCCATCGGCCTTTTGGGTCAGGTAGGTCGAATACCTAAAAAAAAATCTTTTAAAAGAGTTTTTTAAGAAACCATCAATTAAAAGATAAACTGATCTGCGTTTTAACCAAAAAATCATTCTTTTTAATGATAAAAAGGGATTCGTGGTCGGTTACATTTAGGGAAGGATTAGCACCCCTACAACGCCCAAAATTGGTACTTTTTAATTATAAATTGTCTCTATTATTAGAAATTTAAAAATTCAAAATATATTTAATTTATAATCCTATTATTTCAAAATTATAATTATGAGAAAAAAGAAAAAATAATTTATATATATTTATAAATAAAATATTTATTTATTTAGAAATATCAGAAAATGACTTCTAGGTGCCTTAAGACAACTCTTTTCTTCAATATTAATAAATATTAATATAGTAATTTAAATAAAATTAAATTATAATTTTTTATAATATTTAATTTTAAAATAACAGAATAGGACATCCAGTTGTATTAAGACTGCCCTTTTCTTCGATATTAAAAAATAAATATTAAAATATGATAAAAATAATTTATGTAAAAAAATATAAATTATTATTTATTATATATATATTTATATGACTATATAATAATAATAAAAATAATATTTAAATATATAAACAAGTAAAATTAAAACAATAAAAATACAATTAGAACTATATATTTAAAAGCAGTAAAATAAATGAAACTATTTAAAATTAGTGACTAAATTATAATAAAATTAAAATTAAATACCTAATTCATAATTCATAATTAATTATTTAAAATTATAGGGATTAAACATGCCATTTTCCTTATTTATTAATTTGGTGACTAAAATGTAATTATATAAAATTCGAATATCAGATTAAAATAAATTAAAAATATATACTCAGGATTAAAATATTATTTATTAAAATTAAAGGATTAAATCAGTAAATTTATCTAAAATATTTATAATTACGGTTAAGGGCTAAAATATAAATAAATAAAATTTAGAGACCAAATTAAAAGGATTATAAATTTAATTTAGTGACTAAAATGTAAGAATTACAAGTTAAAGGACTGTGGATGGGATTTAGCCCTTAGTTAATTACACAAATAGCCCTCCCCGAAACGACGTCATTCGGGAAGGGCTATTTAAAGCCCAAAACCGGCTGGCCCGAAGGGCCAGCTCTCATTTCCTTTCTTCCCTCTCTCTCTTCTCTGAGAGAATTCAAAATTCTCTCGCTTCTCTCTAAAACAGAGAGAAGCACACCGGCCGGCAGCCGTTCGCCGGCGTTGACCCCGCCGCCGGCCACCGCCTCCGGTGGCCGGAAATTTTTTTTTATTCTAAAACGTAGATCGGACCGTCCTAATGACGGTTCCGGTGTTCTTTTCTCTTAAATAGCTCCCGATCGGAGCAAATCTAAGAAAGTACCTTCGATTTTCGAAGGTTTTGGTGACGTTTGAAGAGGTCTAGTGGTCGTGGCTTCCTCGGTAAGCTTCTCTCCTTTCTTTTCTTTTGTTTTTGGTTGCTGTGTTGTGGGTTTGCTCTGCTTTGGGTTTGTTGTTGGTTGCTCTTTTTCTGTTGGGGTTTTTTTTTGTTCTCCGTTCTTCCTCTCTCTCTTTTGTTGGCAAGGGGCTCGGTGGCTTTTATAGCCACCACCGGTGATAGCTTTGGACCGGTCCAAAAGGGGTTCTTCGGTGAGTCACTAGACTTCCAGTGGTGACTCACCGTTTGGGGGAGACGTGTACGGCTGGAGTGGTTCTTCTGGAAGCCTTCGAAGAGACGTGGCAACGGTGGAGATGGTGGGAGCAGCTGTGGCGGCCGCGTGGCCCTAGGGTTTGCATCTGGAGGAGTGTGGGTCGTTGGATCTGAGAGATCCAACGGCTGAGATTGAGGCGGCGGCTAGAGCTAGGGTTTAGAAACCCTAGCTGAAACCACAAATATTTAGGGTTTCCTTTTGGGTTTGGGCCGGTTCTGGTTGGGCCTGGGATTTGGGCTTGTAACTATTATTTTTTAATAATAATAATAATAATAATTATAATAATAATTATAATAATAATAATTATAATAATAATAATAAATAAAAAAGGGTAAAAAAGTTAGTATCTTCAGTAGCTATATATATACACCAGCCTCTTGCCAAATCATTTTGATAATTTGAAATCCAAAATATTTCACTAAATTCAAAGGAAAAAGGTACAATTTTCCATGAAAAATCCAAGATATTTTATAATAAAAGATGAAATATTGGCTAGAGTCACAAGGTGGCAGACATACCAAAAGTTGAGCTTTTTTATGACAAGATATCACCAAGAGCCTCTCCATATAAATCCCACCACTTGAGTCATTTGACAATGACGTGGAAGAGAAAGTGGGGGTGAGAGTGCCATTAGTATAGGACGGTAAACGGTTAAATTCACCTAAAAAAATATTTTTTACATAATTATAATTATTAATATTCAATCAATTAATTTAAATAAAATATTACAAAAACAAAATCATCCTCTCAATTCAATTTGATTGACTTTTACAGCAAGCTTGAAAACCTGCGTCACACTGATTTGGTTCAACTGCTTCAAGCCCTAACGATTCTAGACCCTTCAAACCCTATCCTCTTCCCACGTGTCCTCTCAAATATTTCTTCACTCCTCTTCTTCCACTCTTATATATTTTTGTCACTCCCTCTCTTCTTCTCTGCAATCTGATCTCTCCTGAGTTTCAAAGAACCAGTGCCCTTTTCTCTATCAATGGCGTCCTCCATTGCTACAACTCTCACTTCCCCAATTTCATCTTCTAAACTTCCCAGGTTCGACTCTTCCTTCCATGGTGTTCCCATTAAACCAGTTTCTTTTCACTCCAAAGCAAAATCTTCCGCATGCAACGCATCGGTTTCAATGTCCGCGACATCGCCTCCGCCGTACGATCTGAACAATTTCAGGTTCGACCCCATCAAGGAGTCCATCGTGTCTCGTGAGATGACACGTAGGTATATGATGGATATGATCACCTATGCCGATACCGACGTGGTGGTCGTCGGTGCTGGCTCCGCCGGACTCTCTTGTGCATATGAGCTCAGTAAGAATCCGTCCGTTCAGGTCGCTATTATCGAGCAATCTGTTAGCCCCGGTGGCGGCGCCTGGCTCGGTGGACAGCTTTTCTCTGCCATGGTAATCCAGAAAAAAAAGAATCTTTTGTTTTGAACTTAAATCTGCAGTACTTAAATCAAAGATTCGATTTTTAAGACTTTAAAATTGTCTTTTTTTTTTAGGTTGTGAGGAAACCAGCCCATCGCTTCCTCGATGAACTCGGCATCGAATACGATGAACAAGACAACTATGTAGTGATCAAACATGCAGCCCTTTTCACATCCACAATCATGAGCAAGCTCTTGGCCCGCCCCAACGTGAAGCTATTCAACGCCGTTGCGGCGGAAGATTTGATAGTGAAGGAAGGCAGAGTCGGCGGCGTTGTGACGAACTGGGCCCTGGTGTCGATGAACCACGACACACAGTCCTGCATGGACCCTAACGTGATGGAGGCCAAGGTGGTGGTGAGCTCGTGTGGTCACGATGGACCGTTCGGTGCCACCGGGGTGAAGAGGTTGAAGAGCATCGGGATGATCGACAGCGTGCCGGGGATGAAGGCACTCGACATGAATACGGCCGAGGATGCTATCGTGAGGCTGACTAGGGAAATTGTGCCTGGAATGATTGTAACTGGGATGGAAGTTGCAGAAATTGATGGATCTCCGAGAATGGTAAAATTTCTTTTCACTTGCTAAATTGTTGGCGGCGAACATATAATATTTTAGAGACAGTAAAAATAGATTATCAACAAAAAAATATTTAAAATATAAGAAAATTTAAAATTTTCGTAACTGTGATTTTTAACGATTTTTAACAAATACAGGGGCCAACATTTGGAGCAATGATGATATCTGGGCAAAAGGCAGCTCATCTTGCACTGAAAGCATTAGAGTTGCCTAATGCACTTGATGGAACATATACGGGAAGCATTCGCCCGGAGCTGATCTTCGCTGCTGCGGATTCCGCCGAGACCGCGGATGCCTAAGCGTCGATGGCTGCAATGGTAGTTTCCAAGTTGCTATGGATATGAGGAATTTGAATAATGTGCAAAGTCGTTGGTAGGATTCGAAATAATCTCCTGTAACTTGATAGCAAAAGCTTAGTCTCACCGATGGTTAGGTGAAACTCTAGTCCGTGATATTAGCATGTAATCAAGTAATGCTTGTTTTCTCCTCTACTTTGTCTTCTCTATATTTACAAACTCCGTGGATAAACCATTGCTCAATCTGCCTAGTTAAGCCACCATTGCTGCAAGAATACCATGGAGTTCTCACAAGTACTGTAGAATGTCGGTACAAACTCGAAATTTAAGATTAAATTCTTTTAATTTACTGCACGCAAAATAATAAGGTTGAGCAAGGCAAGATCGTATATAACAAACAGTCAGACAGTAAAAGCGTGGCATTTAACCTTTACAGTAAAAGCAGAGCTATTGGTTAAATGCACAAACTATATGAGCAGTTCTTAAATGGGCCCTCTTTGGTTAAATGAAGAAATTGTTTTTCAGTTCTTAAAATGGAAAGGAATCATTTTTTATATGAATTTTACATTTATATTTTATACAAAGAAGGCAATAAAAATAGCCACCACTCGTAATAGATGTCTTTTTTTTATTATTATTATTGTTGTTTGTTCCGTTGTTACGATTGGACCTGAGATATCGATTTATGTTCGATTGAATAAAGATTATTAAATGGTAGATGTCTTTTCTTTTTTTAGTGTCTTTTCTTGTTTTTTATAATGCTTTTTATAAATAGATTTTATAAATAAATATAATTAATTTTAATTACGGTATAAGTTAAATAATATTTTAAAAAAATATATATCAAATTCTTAATTTGCTCAGTGGTTAAGCTACATACCTCTTTATAAGGGTTTTATTTTTGAATTTTACTAAATATTCATATTTTTTATTTTCTTACTAATAAGATGACATATTATAATATATATTACTATTTTATTTGATAATGTTAATTTATAAAAAAATAAAATGTTTATAAAAATAAAATGTAGTATTGATAGTGATAAGTGCACGATTTTATTATAAGAGAAAATTTCTAAATATTTTAGGGGACGACAAATTTATAAAATTTTAAGTAATAAAAATATATTATCAATATAAAATATAAAAAAATTAAAATATGATAATTTGAAATTCTTAAAACACGATTGCTATTAAAGTTCGCCATTGTATTATCCATCCCTATTAATTCAATTGTCGCCATTATATAATCATGTTAAGTCGACTGCTATTAAAGGTCGTTTGGTTCACGGAATGTAAGATTACATTTGAGAATAACATTATTGAAATGCAATATTACTCTGGAAATGTTGTATTACCTTGTTTGGTTTGTTCAACAGGAAGGTAAGATTACAATGTTTGGTTGGAAGAATATAAGATTACTTTTATGAATATTTTATCAAATTATCCTTGCTATATATATATTTCAACAAGTTAAACTTCAATATTAGATTATAAATATTTGAATGAAAATTTATAGAAATATTTCAATCGTTATAAAATCTAACTTATGAAGTAAAATACATTTAACATATAATTAATAGAATTAGTATACAATACTAATATTTTTAAATAATGTTCATAAGTATCACATTTACTTATATATAATATAATATGATAAAATATTATGGTTTCTAGTGGATAAAGATATTGTTTTACAATGTATAAGATCCATTTTTTAATAACTCAAAATTAATATTATTTTAAATAATTACATTTTTTACAATAATATCATGTCACCCTTAAAATTATAAATAATTAATATATTAAATATTAAAAATATAAAATATTTTTGACTACTCAAATTTATTAATATTTACTAAATTAAACTCTTTGTATATTATTATTATGTCTATAATTTTGAGTAAAACACGAAAAATAAAAATTGAGAAAGATTCATATGAAAAGATTTTATTAGTCCAATGGTATTTTTGTCCAAAGTGGTAAGAATTATGTAATACCTACACATTTTTAACCAAAAAAATGTTACTATTAGTAATAAGTTATAATATGATAATTATTTTTTCCGTGAATCAAATGTGAAAATACAATTCCAGAAAAGATTATTCCCCTTAGTAATGATAATTTCTGTGAACTAAACACCCCTAGTAGTTATACGGACTAATTTTCAAAATGAAAGTATCACTTAATGACAATGACTTCAACAAAAGAAAATTAATTTTTATAATCAAATTAAAGTATTTTAAAAGTTCAATAACTAAGAATATAGTTTACCTTTCTTTAATGTTTTAAAAAAAATTCTACCTATGAGAGAGGAAGGAGAATTTTATTTTCAATGGATATTAAACTAGTAACATAAAGAAAATAAAAATGTCAACAGAAATTTTTTAACTACGTACTATTCTTGACCAGCTTCTTTAATATTTTATTTATCATCATATGGTTCTTCTAATGTGGTAAATAAAATCGGTTGGGTTCTTATCAACGTTGTTTGGTTCAAGTGATAAATAATTTGATATCACTTAAATAAGGTATTGAGTTTGAATACTTGTGCATGCAGAAAATCCTCGTTGGGAGATTTACTCACCAAAATCAAATGTATGATATAAGTCGATCCGGATTAATCAAAGCGAAATACTAGAACAAGGTGAAAAGAAAAGGTTAAGTTCTTATTAGGGATGTGAACTGGGCTGGTATGTAATACTTCTTTCATATTCATTTTATCAAGAATTTTTATTTGTATCTATGTCTCATTATCTATTTTGGGTATGAAATTTAAAATTATCCTCATTTCACGGCTTTAAGATTAAAATTATTTTTTATTTTAATTGTTTTTAATTTTAACACTAAACTTAAGTTTTGAGTTCAGTTAAGTCACCGAGTTATTAAAATGTTAACACGAGATAACATTATTATTTTGTTCCATGAGCTTTAATTTGTGTATCGATTTAGTTAATAAACTTTATAACATATTAATTTTGGGCATCAGACTGTAGTTTGCATCAATTTGGTCTATACGTAAGATTGTCAACTTCTCCTACCAATGTTGTTCATTTATCGACAATAACTTATCGTCATTTATGACAAGATCAATATCAAAATGTTTGTATTTCACTTATCTTTCTTATACTCGGATTGATTTTCCATAAAATCCACAAAAAAATAACAAAAATTCATCTAAAAGTATGATGTTCTAATTCTTCAATCTCCTTCTACGGTCGTCCAATCAGACTAATTTTAAGTATGATGTTTGTCTTTGTAAAAGAATATTTCTCACCGTATAAATTTTTGAACAAATAATTCAAATTCCTCAAAACCTCGAAAAGATTTTTTTTATGTTTAACTTTATGGGTTTTATTTTAAAAAGGTTTTGAGAAAATTTAAATTAATAAAGTGATAAAGGATGATGAGATAAATTTTTAAATATTTAAGGTTGCGATAAAATGTGTTTGAAAATAGTGGTATTTGACAATAATATAAAAGTAGGTGAAAAAAATCTAAATTTTAATATAAAATGATAGTATGAAATAAAATATTTTTTATTTCTACGTAACATATATTATCACCAAACTATAACGTCATTTAATTATTAATGTTTTAATAATTTAATTAAAATTTAATATTAAAACCTAATTGATTCAAAATTTAGTGATAAAATTGATGCTAATCTTTAAATTCACCGAAGATTATTTACCCTTTAAGTTTTGAGAAACACGTTGATAATGACGGTACAAAATCAAACGAGAACTATGTACATGTGTCTAGTTTCATTGCCATCACAAACATCCACAGATTAAAAAGGAAATCTAAAGCCATTTAACCACTGAAAAACACAAACCACTACGAATCCTTTGACCACAAATCTAAAAACAGAAAACATGAAAAACATTTGTTAATCGACAAAACTAAAATAACTAATTTTCCATGTCCGAAGCAGCCGCACAAAAATAGAGGCAGAGAATTTAGCTACACTTCATATACCTCATGTTCCTCCTTTTATCTCTAAACTTCACAGGGTTTCACTCAGAATTCTTTCACCACTTCTCTTCTCCCTCCTCCCTCCACCGCGTGGTGGCCGCGCGGCTAGCTTCTCCCCCCCTTTCTTTTCCTCCGCCGTTCTCTAAGTCCCCTGCATCGGCCAGCCAAAAAAATAAAAGAAGAGAAAAGCAGGGCATGAAAGTGTCTGGGGTGAAACTCTTATTTCTTGCATTAATCTTGATCCACATTAGAATTCAGGTATGTGATGGCGCTACGCTCGTCGACGACTATGCCGATGAGGAGACAAAGGCTCCGGCACCCCCGCCGGAGATGGACAATTGTAACGGTGTGTTCTTGAGCTATTCTTTCACCTCCAGGACTAAAGCGGTACCCCTCTTGAAGAACGTATCGGCTCAGCCGTGGACGTTTAATTCCATGGCCACCATTGTCAATGCTGGGACAGAAGAGGTAAAAGGATGGAAGATGTTCATTGGGTTTCAACATAAAGAGATATTGGTGTCCCTCACCAACGCCGTCATCATCGGCGCTACCGGGGATTTCCCGGTGGCGGTCGGGAACGGAACGACCATTTCAGGTTCCCCCAGTACAGATCTCAAGACATCCATTGACACCGCCGGGGATTATACTCAGATTGCCGTGCAGATTCTGATCAAGGGTTCCATGTTCGGGTTGAGCGAGAAGGCCACTCCCATGCCCAAGAACATCTCTCTCACAAACATTGGCTGGAAATGCCCCAAGAACACTAAATATAGTAAGTTTATCTCGTTTCGATGAATCCAATAATGGTCATTTTCATAATATATGTATTTATATATATGCTTTTAAGGGTAAATTCATTATAATTTAAATTTTGGGAAACTTGGGAGGATTCTCTCCGCAAAATTGCTTGAATATTATAGTAAAAATTAAATTGTTTGAATAAGTAGTACTATTTCATAATCTAAGATAATTATCGCAGTAATTTTAAGAAAGCGAATTGATTGCACGTATTGCGATATCATGAAATCAAATGAAAGTATCCTGCAATCAATATATTTTCTTGAAATTGTTGTGATAGTGATGCAATCCGAACACACAAGAGAGGCAAGGAAGTCTTCATGCACGTATGATGAGATCATGAAATCAACACGTTTTCTTAAAATTATTATAAAATCTTGACAAATCCTTTGGATTAGTGTAACAATCGCTATAAATGATAAAATAATTTTTGGTGAACCTGCAATATCCAAGTAATTTGCCCGGATTCTCCTGGCTAAATATCTTTGTTTTTTTTCTTATTATTTTAACCTTTTTTTTACTATAGAAACCTACATGCATGTATGTTGCAAAAGGGATCCGAAATACAAAGCCAAGAGCATCAATAGCCAGTACATGCCTAAGCAAAACGGAGACCTGACCTTCACGTACGATGTTTTGAAATCATATGAAGGTAGCTACGAGGCACAAGTGACGATGGACAACAACAGTCCGATCGGAAAACTGGATCGGTGGAACCTGACATGGGAATGAATGAGAGGCGAGTTCATCTACTCAATGAGAGGAGCCTACACTTCCCCAAATGGATTACTCCGGATGCGTTTACGGTTTAGCCGGCAAATACCTCAAAGACTTGGATTTCACTCAAGTCTTGAACTGCGACAAAAGACCAACGATCACCGATTTGCCACTCGTAAAAGCAAACGATACCAAGGTCGGTAAGGTCCCTTATTGTTGTAAAAACGGGACTTTGTTGCCGCCATTGATGGACCCGAGCAAAGCTCGAGCTATGTTTCAATTAAGGGTCTATAAAATCCCTCCGGATGTCTCTCAGAAAGTGTTGTATCCGCCACAAAAATGGAACATCACGGGCTATCTTAACGCTCGTTACAAATGTGGACCGCCGATTAGAATAGACCCGACGGAGTTCCCCGAATCGACCGGTCTAAATGCTAAAACATATGCCATCGCGAGTTGGCAAGTCGTCTGCAATTTTACGACACCGGAGAAGAAGAAATCGAGGTGTTGCGTTTCCTTCATGGCTTATTACAGCGACCACGCCGTTCCCTGCCCCACGTGTGCTTGTGGATGTGACAGTATCGACACCAGTAAATGCAATCCCGACAAGAAGGCGATGCTTATACCACCCGAAGCTCTCCTTGTTCGGCGGAAAACAGGACGAAGAAAGCTAGAGCATACGCAACACTCAAACACAAAGAGGTCCCTCGTAAGTTACCTTGTCCAGACAACTGCGGCGTCAGCATAAACTGGCATCTCAACTCCGATCACAAGAGCGGATGGACAGCGAGGATGACGCTGTTCAATTGGGGAGACCTTCCGTTTGTCGACTGGTTCGTCGCCGTCGAAATGAGGAAAGCGTACAAATGTTTCGACGACGTGTATTCGTTTAACGGAACCAAAAAGCTGAACAACGTTAAGAACACAATCTTCTTCCAAGCATTGAAGGGATTGGAGTACTTGATGCAAGAGAAAAATGGGTCAAAAGCAAGTGATCCGAGAATCCCCGGAAAACAACAATCGGTGATTTCGTTCACGAAGAAATACACACCCAATATTAACGTTGAAAAAGGCGATGGGTTCCCTTCCAAGGTGTATTTCAATGGCGAAGAATGTGCACTTCCCAGTAGCTTCCCGAGTTCAGGGCATGCCCCTCGTCTTTCCATTACTACTTTCATCTTCATAGCCATCACCACTTTCTTGCTAAACCGATTCCATTGATGATATTTGGCTCTGTGCCCCCCCCCCTTTTGTTGGCTTGTAGTATATTGGATTTTGGAGATATTTATATGTTTGTTATCTTTGGTTTTTGAATAATTTCCCCAAATATAGAAATCATTGATCTTTTGTTGACCATAATTTGAGTTGATTTCTTATCTTTGGGGAAAATATAAATATATGGGTAGAATATTCTTACATAATGTAAAACTCTTTTAGTTTTACATATATTTAGGATTGTTGGATGAGTGAAAATAGATGGTTGAGATTAACCATAGGAAATGAGAAGATATTTACTGGGAAAAAAGAGTTTTACTTTGTGTAACAAGATCATATCCGTGTATATATATATATATATATATATAGTGCCTAGAGTAGTTTTCACATGAATTGAGAATAATTTATTTTTCAAACAAACAAATTAAGAATTTTAGATTAAAAATTAAAATCAAAACTAAGATTATAAAGGAAAGATCCAAGTAAAATAATAGAAATTTAATATAATGATATTATAATTAAAGATAAATACCCTTCTTGATTCATGAGTTTAATCGTTGATGTAAAAATATTTTGGGTAAAGCACGTAAGTGGTCTCTAGACTGTAATATTGTTTTGTTGAGTCTCAAACTATTAAAAATTATAAAATGATCAATCGATTATAGATAGTTGCTTTGTTGAGCCCCTCGAGTATTAAAGGTTATAAAATGGTCATTCGATTATTCATTATGTTCCAAACTCATCATTTTTCGTTAAAAAATTAAACAGTCGTATGAGTTGAACGTTAACATGTTAAGCAATATATGATAGTCATTTGACATTATAAGATCATATTTTATCACATCTCAGTCAGCAGGTTAACGTCCAGTTCAGACCGTCGTTAATTTTTTAACGGAAAAGGACGAGTTTAGAACATAATGGATAGTCGAGTGACAACTTTGTAACTTTTAATAGTTTAAGGACTCAATAAAATAGTATCCTATAGTTAATGGACCACTTGCGTATTTTACCCAAATATTTTTAATGTTTAATGATGAGTTATAATCACCAACAAACATTAAGCAATTAATCTTTATTGAAGTATACAAACACAAACAAACTTTATTTAAATTAAATCACAAATCCTCATGGCAAATTGCACTACAATATACACAATTAATGTTATTCGTTACAAAAACTATGACAAACTAAATTTAAGTTCTAAATGTTGGAGCAAATATTTTAAGCAATGTAGTATGATACTCATACTCAACAAACTATAATATTTGTAATTAAAATAAAGAAATGTAAACAATAAAAAATAAAGAAAACATAAAGAAATGTAAACAATTTGGTCTCATAAACATATAGAATCAAAACTTTAAAATTCCTTTAATTAAGAAATAATAATTTGACAATTTATGATAAAAAGAAAATACAAAAATAAGAATAATCTTGTAGACTCTACTACTAAAATCGATAAGGGAGTCTGTATACAAGTGTTTTACAAGGTTTTTTTATGATAGGAAACCAAGGCTTTATTGGGGTGATTCTGAAATTTTTAGGGTTACTTTTACTCATTTGTGTTGTCATGAATTGATTTCGCAAGAGATAACAGACAAATCCTACAAATGTAGCTGTTCAAATTCGAAATTTCTAAAAAAATAATATTTATCTTTCTATTAAGAGTTTAGTGGAAGATATACACAGATGAGTCGCAATAAATGATTAATTTTTCCTGTTCGAGATCAAAGATTTTCGCCCCTTTATTCTGTTTCTGACATGTTCATCATGGGAGAATAGTATTGCAGAGTTGATTGGATTTGTCTTTTTCTTTGAATGAATCTTCAAAACTTTGGTCTAATTGAATTCTTAACTCGTTCAACAAGTAATATTAAAAAATGGGAAGCAGAATGAATTTTCATGCATTTCTTGAATGATGATGAAACACAAGATATGTTTAAAATAAGACAATGGCTGCCTATAGATTGGAAAACCAATGTTTCAGTACAAATGTGGAAGACTTATATATAATACAACAATTGCTTCAGTAGCGCAGAATGCTGGAATCTTGAAGCCTGGATTCATCCGGAAGTTCATCGTCATCGTTTCTGAGATCGAGTCATGGCTTCCAATGCTGTGATCTCTAAAGCCTGGATTCATCTGGAAGTTCATTGTCACCTAAGCTCTTCACTGGACAGAAATCGTCACATGGTTTTTAACTTTACGATATCTTCTTGGCCTGCATTCACAACATGAAATGAAAGAGTTTCGATGTCAAGGAGTTTCCGGTAGATGTATTTTTCATGGAGAAACTTTAGAAATAAAAAGCATGGCCACAAATGAATCATCCAGCTGCTGCAATGAAAGTAGCAGTACCTTCTTTAAATATTTCTTATGAAGTTTCAATGCCCCAGTGCAGGCTTTCTTGGCATCCAAGTTTCCGGGCATGTCGTTCAAAATCTGAAAAAAATGTATAAAAGCAAGACAGACCAAAGCATTCAGATGACATAATATAGCCGGAATTTCCACTGTCACACAAAAAGGCAGAAATTCTAAAAGACGAGCGTGGATCGATTTAAGGCTTCATCAATACCAAACCATTTGTAAACGTTTTGTGGATTCAGAATGTCCTTAGTAATCCTAAAGAGTCAAAGTCTACGAAAATGTAATCTTACCTGAACTACATCGTCCAGACCACGAGCTTTATGCAGTAATACTGAGCTATTATCTTTTAAGACACTGGCAACAAGGAAAACCGATATGGGGAGGGGCTCACCGGAGCTTTTAATTTTCATATTGTCTCTCTCGTACTTCCCACACTGACGGGTTGATTTCGGTTTTCCTTTGGAAACTTCGGACTTCTCCATATTTAATTCAAGTTCTTCATACATAAGGAACAAGTCCGGATCATATTCTAGAGCCCACATCATCTGTAAAAAGTAAAGGTAACCAGAATTGTGTGAAGTGTGCCGGTACACACAAGTATATGTTCCATAAGTCCGGAACTGATTCATATTAGTCACAAAACCGAACATTTATGCTTAGGAAAATATTATTTCCAATGAATTTTATCAGGTAATTAACAAAAAAGTTTAGCATACATTTTGAATTTGATTCTATAAAATCAAAATATTATAACAGTTGAACATACATACCTCCCATAAGTACAATGAATCGCAAAATGAGAACTCTCGACGAAACAAAACCATTAGCATTCGAATAGCAAAGAGATAGTGACCTCCACCAAGTGTCTCTGTAGAACCAATCTTAAAAAGGAAATCAAAATGCTAACAATAGAGAATGAAAGAAAAAATCTTCATTTTGTACCAAAGTGCTGGTGAAGTTTCGGATCGATAACTTGAGTCACCGTAGCCAAATTACTGAGTTGTGTTACTACCCCAACAGAAGTCTCAGTGCATCTGAAATTTCCTCGCTTTAAGATTTAAAAGAGGAAACCATATTGTTAGAAACTGGTAAAGGAAAAAGAGGAAATATAAAATAAATGATGGTAGCTACCAATCTGCGCATGAGACGCTCAAAGCACCAAAATGCATCAGCTTCATCTTCAAAAAGAATAATCATGGGGGAGCATAGATCACTCATTCCTGCTCAACATTGTAATCGAATCTAGCTTTCAGAATTCCAACTAAAAATACAGATACAAAACTTCATGTAATTACGTACCTTGACAATATCCGACATCTGTATCTATCCAGGCATAAACAGAGAGTATATCCATTAGTTTTGATAAATTCTCATGCTTCTCATAAAATACCAAATCCCTGTCGGTGCGTTTGACATCGAGACCTGAATGAAACATAAATACAAGGAATGTGGTCATGATTAAGAGAAGAAAGCCCCAAACCGAAAAGAGAAATGCATTCAAAATAAGAAACAACAACAAACCGACCTATTTGAGGCAGTGAAAGCAGCCACTGGGTTACTTTCATGTCCAAAGGACCATTACTGATTACCATTTCGGTGCTCTTAGCATTAGTATCTGAATCATTCATGACATATCAATACCTGGTTTATTAACTTAAGGTTTTCCGAAAACAATTATCTAAACAGGTAAAGTGCCAGTTACTTACCTAAACATACAGCAGGGTCTCGAATGGGTCGACCATCTTTGGTGATTACAGGTACTGTAATATAATTGCCACTTCCAATGATGGGAAACATTTGACTACATTCCTTCTTCCATCTGATATATTGCTCCCTGATATATAGAAGCGAGGAAACATCTTGGGAACAATTCCCTCAAGATTCAATATCCGAATTGTACAAAATCATTAAACAGGATAAGTGGACTACCTTCGTTGCTGTCGTATCTGCTTCCTTTCATCGAATGTGCTCGTAGGATCATAACATCCAAGTAGAAACTCCCAAACTTCTCCTCTGATCGATGGATGAATCCCCTATGTTCACCAACAAAAATAAATAAACAAACTTGATAGACAGAGACCGAAACAGAAAAGCATAACTATGTACATGCATTGAACTCCAGAATATGAACTTACCCCACGAAGGATTCGATGTAGAGTTTTTCCTATATCCAATTGGCCATTTGGAGAAAATGCAGCTAGCCATTTTCTTACACTTAGAGTTTTACCAGGCTGCATAAGCAAAAAAAGAAGATCTTCATTGAATCATAACACCCTTCTTACTAATGTATAAATTCAATACCAAATCTGAAACGATCATTCCATCAAATTCACATATCAAGTGCCCTCTAATGGATAAGTTCACTAAAGCTAAATCCAATCAAATTAGAGCCACTAATATAGCATTATAGGAAAACAAAATTATCCCATAAATCTAAACAAAAATAAAAACCAATGCAACCCCGTCACATCAAATATGCTATCTTTCCATAAATTCTTAAACATGGATAGAATTTCAGTTTTGTCCAATTAATAAAAAAAACAAACCCTAATCTTAAATCTGGTTGCTGGAACGTCATTGCATTCAGGCTTGACCTGATAATAAGAATCGGCTGGTTCTGAATGAGCCCCCCACATTTATCAAGAAAAAAATTACAAAAAAAAGAGCTTCTTCTTCTTATTCCTTTTTGTACCCAAAGAATGGGATATACCCAGAAAGCTGAAACCTTTGACTGTAAGAAGAAATACCCAGAAAGAAAAATCAAAAGAAATTCAATGGAAGGTCGAGAAATGTAGGGCTCAGCCAAGTCAAGTTCTTCAAAGAAACAAAAAGGAAAAGAAACTAAAAGCTCTTTTTTGTTTTCGATACGAAATTGAACCCAAAAAAACCTCGGTTTATTATCTTTATAAGGTAGATGGTGGCAGCCATGGATGTCGCAAAGAAAGCTGCCATCTCACAACCATAAAGGATATTAAAAATAAATTAGAAAAACAGTTGGCCGTTGTATACGTTAATTTTGACCGTCTCCCTCGTGTGTTTCTGTACTTTATCTAAACTTATCCGCCATTTTTCATTTTTTCATTTTTCAATGTACTATAAATTAAATACCACTAAAATTTTAAGCCTTTATGTCTAATTTTAGGTTAAACTACGTGGATAGTACTCCAAATATAGGATATTTTTGAATTTAATCATTAATTATAAACTAATTATTAGAGTTTTTAACAATTATACAGCAGTTTTTCGATAAATGATTAACCCATGGTAGTTTACAAAATTTATAGAACAATACATTTAATCTTTCTATTTAATTTCTTTTTTGTTATTTTATCTCTCTTCTTTCATACCCTTACTATAAACTCAGAAATTAAAATGTTTATTTTCTCTTTTATTTTATACAATTGTCATTTTCATTTAACGTCTATTTTAATTGTTGAGAGTGTTATAGAATGAAGATTCTCAGCTATCAAATTTAACTTTTTTTTCTTATATAAATATAAGATAAGTCTTAACGTTTAAAATTAGGGAGAGATAATATTTTTTGTGATTTATAATTTCTAGGATTTTTATCGTAGAGATAATTTTATGAGGATGCATGGAGAGTATTTTGAGATACATTAAGTTTTTAGGATATATAAGATACATATAATTCTATGGATGCATGCTCTTTGTTATTTTTACGTTTATAGTAGATTATTTGTTTTTCTCATATGTGGAGATAAGTAAGGATAAACCACATAAAATCTTGTCTCTTATGTGTAATTTATTGTATGTTGATCTAACATTGTTTACCTTTTCACTTTTAAATTCCTAACAAGTTAGCTATATCGGAGACATGCAAAAGGAATTTTATTGCAATGCACTTTTAATTGCATAAAGAATAATTTTCAATCGGTCCAAGGATGTTTGAACTGATGTTTGATTTACGTAAGAAATAATTGAAGACTTGAAACCAATTTTCTGATAAAATTTGTGTGAATGAAAAAAAAAAATTATATATTAGCTTAAATTAAAATTGATAATTTAATTATTTTTGTATTTTATATATTTATATCTGAAAATAAAACACATCATTTAATTAAATTATTTGAAATTGAGATAAAATCTATTTACGATGTACACACTTTATTAATTTTACATGAAATATATGAGATGATTCTAGGTAGCGACTCAGATTAAAACTTTGTTGATTAGTATTATTTTTAAAAAAATTATGGAAAAATAGTAAAATGTTAATCTCAATCGTTTATTTAAATTTATCAAACAATTCCGTGTTTAAGTAGAAACGATGAGTTTTATAAAAGATAAATGGATCATACACTTCTAAATTCAATTGATAACTAATAAATTCTAGTAATAAATTTGAATATATTTGTATTATAGTATAAATGAAAATTATTTAAAAGTGACGATAGCTCAAAATAATACTTAAAATAATTCTGCTCTGACCAATAATTCTGCATGAAGGCGGCTCTATCAAGGCGCGGTGGTGGCCGCCAACTCCATCTGCCAAGACACTTCCGTTTCCTTGCTATTGGCTGGCTCGGGTGATTCCCTTAAACAATCGGCCGAGAAGACTGCCACGTGTCGCCCTTCTATTTCTCGGGTAAATTTGATTGTAATTTTTACGTTATACCATTTTTTTAATACTTCATATTAGTAATTTTAATAAAGAAAGCAAATTATTTCATAAGTAAATATTTTTTATTTGTAGGTTCTTGTGGCTGCTTCTGATAAGTTTGCTTGTCCTTTGGCTGAGCCGTGGGCTAAGTTAATCCAATTGGATCAGCTAAAAGAAGCTACTCTCATGTAATTGCTACTTCAGGTTCATTTGGGAAGAACACATTACCTCGTGCTGCTTCCCTTTTAGGTGTTTCTCCACTTACCGATGTTGTTGAAATTAGTGGCCCTCATCAATTTATCAGGTAACTTTATGTTTGTTCATTGTAACGGCATGCACTGTGGTGGATACTATTTGCATGTGAATAGTTGTTGCTTGTCGCGCAAGTTAATTAAGTTAATCGAGTTGTGCTGGTACACTTGAGCTTTTAAACAATCGACTTCTGCTAGAATGGAAAGTAGATTGAAGTGTAGGAGGAAATATGTTTTGCTATGTTATACGGGCTTAGGGGCTTAGGATCAGATACGATTTGTATTTGTCAATGGTATGCTTATTTATTTTCAGTTCTTTCATATATATATATATCAGAAACACGTATCAGACAGTACTGGGGTAATGAAGGGTCTATCCAACATCGGTGTTTCGAGGTTTGTTCCATGTCTACTAGTTGGTTGCTGGTCAAGGGCTATGGGGTCTTGATTTTGGATTGTACTGAAATTATTTGGTTGTCTAATACATATAGCCACTTGTATGGCCATATTTACATTATGGTTGACTTGGTTCACGTATGTTTATGATCGATAAGAAGCTTTAAAGCTTAGTTTTTGCTTTTACTGTGTTTGTGTTCATTAAGAAACTGAGTCAGATGACAGGAGGACATAGGAAAGCAACTCATTGCTTATCTTGTATTATGCATGATCCTACATGTGAATAATGAATCATCATTATGCCTCTTGTTAAACTGGTTTTGATGTAAGATGTGCTACTTTCTTTGTCACGGGCCTATTTATGCTGGAACTGCCAAACTGGAAAAATTGTAGCCCCGGAACTATACATATGGCATTCGGTGTTTCAGGAGCCATTCAACACTTAGCTGGCATGAAGGATTCTAAGGTTATCGTTGCGGTTTACAAAGATGCCGATGCACATGTACCCATTTTCTATGTGACCTTCATTTCCCATCCAGAGATGCATATATGTCCTTGAGAGATGTGAATGCATGGATACATACACAATAGGGTGCATATATGACCCAAATTCATAGATGTCAGATACTGATTTATTCTCGCTGCCGTTCTGTATTCTTATACGGTGCAGGTAGCTGATTATGGAGTCGTGGGCGATCTTTTTGAAGTGATACTGGAGTTGTTAGAAAAGCTTCCTGAGAAAAAGTAGTCACGTATACTTCCCAAAGTTGCAAAAATTGTTGAATGCTGTTTAAACAAAGATACCAATTGAATAGCAATAAAACAGAATGTGATATTTTGTCACATTAAAGAACTCTTCATTTGTGAACCTAGTTTTAAAAGATATAAGAGTCATCGAGGTGCAAAGAGTCCTTAGAGTCTAACTACAAAGCTCAGGGCAAAGGCGCATACCTTTCGTAGGCAAGGCGCATTTATATGCAAAAAAAAAAAAAAAAAACTGTAGATAAATTCTAGAGCATATTGAGACCCATTACCTATTGGTTCATTCTTGAAGCACTTAATCTCCTTCTCATACTCTATTCCTTCACCATTGCTTATCCCCTCCTCAAGAGTCAAGACCTATACTTTTAAAACTTTGTCATCACCATATATTAGTATCACATAAGGGTCAAATAGACATCCAACACAATTATATATGCAAAGAGTTTTGGCTTACCTCACCTTTTCTGCATCGTCAGTTAATCGAAATGCTTGGTTATTCAATAAACCAGAAACTCTTTATTGCATAGACAATTATATATCAGATTATGTAAGTCGAGTTTCCTCTGACTAGTGATTGATGCTTACCCATATGCGTCCGGTGCTAGTAGGAGCCAGTTGGTATAAAACTGATGCAGAACTAATGCAGGTATAAACTTAGATTTTTAAGCAATAACTGGTTGCTTATGCACAACTAGACAAGTAGCAAAGATCATGGACATATGGCAGACCGCCAGACCTTGCACCTATCGTGGAACAACATGTTCACACCACTAAATAAAAAATGAAAGCATTTATCTTCCAGGCCTAGAAGTGAGGTGCCTCTTAAAAAAACTACAAAAGTATGCGTTTAAGTGGACTTTTAGTTCCTCACTTTGTCTGTCGTTGGAGACCTTTTTTATACTCTCATATGTGCGCTTTTTAAAACTAAGTTTGTGAAGCACCCAAAACTATACAAAGGAACAAAGCTTTTTATTCGTGTGATTTATATAAAACCGATTACAAGAATAACCATATAATTGGACTTCAATCTCAAATATTTGCCGGAAGAGTGAATAAAAGCAAAAGAAAAATAAAAGTATAAATAATTAATATTTTCAGCACCGTGTATCATTAAAGCACATCTAGTGTGTGGTATCATAGTACCCTCCCACGGTACTGACCGGGGTTCGGTTCTCCGGATGCGCAGTTTCTATATAAATCATTTTTTGGCCCTTCTGACATCCTTTCATGACCAAGAAACGACAAATACGGAGGCTATTGTTGCCTCGCCTCTCGTTGCTAATACCAGCAATACTTAATTTTATGTGTTTGCTTGTTTCTCCTTTTAGCAGGTACTTGTCCCTCACGGTTTGGCTTCTACTTTGTTGGTTAATGGTTTTATGGGTTCGGTTCATGAACCCAACTTCATTTGCTTGAATGTACCACCTTGCTTGACACAAAACCAAAACAGTAACCTCCCTGCAACCACCCACACTTTCCATCTTCTCCATTAAAACGTGTTTTAATGGTATCATACTCCTTATCGATTGATTAAAATAACAAATATTTTTTATTTATTTTATAATTTAAAAGTAATAATGTTTGAAGGAATTAGTATTATGATAGAACTCTCTCGATAATAATAGGACAGCCGGCATTCGCATTACAGTTGAACAGATAAGAAATGATTAAAATATGTGAGATGCGAAAGCACATCTTTTTGGAATCTTTCTTTGGAGGGTGATCAAAACATGAACAGCGGGGCGGCTCCTTTGTGCTGCTTACTTTGAATATTAAAATACGGCATAATTAATTCAAATTAGAATTAAAATTAATTTGATTTAATCACTAAAAGTTATTTGTTTACATTTATCCAATCTGAACTTAAAAGATAAGATTTAACTCGAAAAATAACTTAAGTAAATGATTCAATTTTGATATAATATATATGATGATATCTTCATTGACACGTAATATAATTTTATGGTGATAAATCATAAGTTCACATTGTTAATAAAAATGCAAAAACTATGAATGAAATTAAAGTTTGAATACTAATTTGGGCTAAAAAATATTTAAGTACCACTTAAGAGAAAGTGTTTAATTCAAGTACCAGATGTGTATCTAACCTAAATTTTTTGATCGGTTAAAAAAATCTTGCAATGATATTATAGACTAGTTTATGAGAATAATACATATTTTATATTTATTTATTGAAATGACACTCAAACAACATTATGTGGCAAAATGACACCCTTTTGAGTTAGACACCTCACAAGTGTATATAAGCATTATCTTTGATAATTCAATGAATCTACGTTTAGAAGTCTATATTTAAATATTTTAAAAAACTATATATAAAGAATATGAAATTTGAGAATTTCATTATAAAAATTTGTTGAGTTTAAACTATCAAAGATAATTCCTAAACTTAATTAGACTCATATCAGTTTGATAGTTAGTTTTGGATATTAGGATTCGAGTATTTCATAAGGTAGTCAAAGACAGTTGTTGTATTATTATGAAATATTGAAATACCCCAAAATTTTTGTTAGTGACTAAAATGTAAATTTTGGGAAGTTTGATGGCTAAAGTATAATTTTGTAAAAGAAGTTGAGGGACTAAATATAATTTTGAAAATTTATATTTTAGTGTTTTTGGTATAGGAATTTGGTTAAAAGCTATAAAGTTGTAAAGTCCGGTGTAGAATCGGGTAATCGAATCGAACCAGAATTTCACAAAAATTTGAAAGATGCTAGATAAAAGTTGGAAATATTATTTCATAGCTTAGAAAAATTGAATTTAACATGAATTAGTGGAATTAAGGTCGATTTTTCCATGTTAAGCCAAAATTATGAAATTTGGTGACTAAATTGAAATTTTTGAAAATTGCCAAGTTAAAAGTGAGAAGTTAAATTTTGTTTGTTCATATTTGTTTTTGAATATTGAGTTGGAAGATATTAGGGTGGCATGGTGAAAATTATTAGGAGTTTTAAAGGATAAAGTTGGATTTTCATATTAAATAAATTTTAAATTCATTTAAATAATTATAAGACATGTGGATTAGTGAAATGGTGTAAAAAAGAAATAAAGAGAAGAACCAGTAGCTTCTTCAAAACCGTGAACCACCATTCCTAACGAGGTAAGAATTTTCAATTTGATTTTTTGGCTTATTTGATTGATTTTTTTGGGTTAAGCTATTAGATAGAGAATTAATCTACTTGAAATTCTCTATCATTTGGTAAAAAAAATTCATTGAAAACATGCTTGAATAATGAAGTTCATGATTAGAGTTTACGAAGGATTTAATGATTTTGAAGGTTTAATGAAGTGTTATTATGTTTTTTATGTCGGGGATTAAATTTTCAAGTATTTGTTATGATTAAAATCAAGTGTATAAGTATTTATGGAATTTGACTATATTAGGGTTTATTGAGGTTAGATGAATTTGGATTCAATTTGATGTTGTGATGGTTGGAATAACATGAATTTAATATTAGAAGGTTGAATCCATGCTTGAAGTTAAATGGAAATCAAGTCCTAAGGTACTAAGGGCATTCAACCATAGGGGAGAAAATTAGGGGAAAATGTTGAAAATTTTCTTATGGTCTAAAATTGATATTAGATGTATTCTAAATGCTTTGAATATTGAATTGGATCAATTTGGAAGCTTGGAATAGGGAAAGGGCTATGTTGCAAGTTCTAAGAATTGTGGGATATTGATGTATTAAAGTGTAAATTGGGGTATTCAATATTGGATATTAGTCGTGGAATGTTGAATTTTAAGTTAAAATAATGATTTAGACCCAAAGTTTAAATTTTATAAAGTTTTGTGGTGGAATTGAATGAGTATTTTAAGAAGATTGAAATTATGATGGAAGGACGAATTATTTTTATATCAATTAAGTATCGATTTTTATTTAGACTTCTATATTATTAAGTTTGGATTATGTTAGTTCGATACTAATATATAGTTTGAATATTTTATACTATGATATGACGTTGTCATATTACGATAAACCTAGTGAATCGATCGATCCGAAAGGAAAGGATAAAGCACGCGAGTAAAGAAGTATCGTATAAAGGTTCGATAGTGAGGCGAAGGTAAGTGCAATTTATTTATTTAATAATTTATTTACATTTCATATTATTATTTTAAAGTATCCTTTCAATCTTAATTATGGAATATTTCTATAATGTTCATATTAAGCTTTATGAAGATTTAGGGTATGAACTGTCCAAGTTTACGTTCCTGCAACGATGAATTAAAAATGATTCTGATTTTTAAATGTTTATCATTAAACGATTATGATATGATCTAAAAGCTCATTGTATGTTGCATTAAGAGTTATAGATTCATTGACATGCCATTAAGTTGAGTAAATTCAAGTTATAGTACATTTGTGTACATTATGTTATGCACCGTTGGAGTATATGTTATGATTTGCACTTGGAGTGCAATTTTATAATAAGTTATGATCGGCACCGTGTTGTGCGTAGTGCACACCTTATGTTCTACTCATGTACTTTATATTCTTTCAAATATGCATTGGGCTATAAATATAATGAAATATGGAAGTTATGAACATGTCAAGTTGGCATGAAATATGATATTTTAATTTTATCTGATATTATTTGTTGTGATTTTTATAAGATCGCAAAATAAGTAGATTTTAGGTTATGATGCGGAAATGGACTTGATTAAGTCGGTTTGAAAATTTTAATAATTTATTTACATTTATTTCAATGTTTTACTATATTTATGATATTTTAGGTTTATCTTACCTGAGTTTATTACTGTATCACTAAGTTATACTTAGCATGTGATGATTTTCATGTATAGGGTTTGATGGGGATAAGGTCGCGTAGTGAGGAGCCTCATGAGCATCATTTTGAAAATCATACTTATTACCTGTATCAGTAAGACATCTCTGATGTTACATTCGACTTTTAGTGACATGTATATTTATGTTAGTTTGTTTTGCCGATTTACTTTAAACGGTATGTAATAGTAAACTTGAACCATTTAGTTTGGGCCTATATATTTATATTCATATTATTGCATGCATATTATATTTATGCTTTATAAAAAAGGTTTTCAAATGAAGTAGTGTTGAGACAATTTCCATCGTTTTTGAAACAATACTAAAATGTTTAATTGCTGCCTAAAATCAAATTTATTTTTAATGATTAAATATTATTTTATAATTTCATGCAATAAATAAAATAGTTTTAAAGTTGTAGTAGGAAGATTATATAATGAAATAAATTTTATAGTATTTATGTTCAACTCATGTGTGTATAGTTAAGATAACATCTTTAACTAGTATTTCGAGACGTATATGAGTGTGGTGTTACAAATACTCAGGATCTCAGTATCCAAAATTATATTTGATTATCGTACTAATATGAGTCTGATCAAGTTTAAGAACTGTCTCTGACAACTCAAAATCAATAAGTTGTTATAATGAGAAATCTCATGTTTATGAGTTTTTTCCAAATGTTTATAGACTTCTAAAGATGCACTCATTAAATATTTGAAGATAAAGTTTATACACACACGTTGTTGTCACCGTTCAACATACTAGTGTGTTTGTGCAAGTACATATCATCGACACGTACTACGTGCATTACTTCTTTTTGAATTAAATTTGTATAGTTTTTACGTTTAAGGCCAATTATTCTCATTTCTTTTATTTTGGTCATAGATATCGCCAATGTTGGAGAGCCCATTCGAAATACCTGCCACGTCGGCCAAGATACGCCCTACAAATCATACCTTTTGATAAACGCTTCTCATATAATGTGTCATTGTCAAAATAATGTCATTTTACTAAATAATATTGTTTGAGTGCCAAATCGATAAAAAATAAAATATGTATTATTCCCATAATATTACTGATATTATAGTTCCTTGTGGACTTCTAAGAACTACTTATTTAATACATATACACATAGATATACCTCGTTAACACTAACGCGGTTTAAATTTTAATACTATCATCATCACTAGTCTCTCGCATATGGTAAAATGTAAGGAAAAAAAAGCATTACACACATATATATATATATGATCATGCAAAGCAACGTTATTGGTCGCATTGATGTAGGGTTGAATTGATGTAGAGAAAGAGATACACATAGGGTATGTAATAAAATGTGAAAATCAACTTAGATATTGTACTACCATTGACAAAGGAACTAAACAAAGACCCCTTTTCTTTAGTTGAGTTTCTTCATTTCCTCCACCATTGATGAAACCCAACTCATCTCCTCTCTTGTTGATCCACTTCCTTTGTCCTCCTACAGCAACAAAATTTTACCACAAATCAGTTTTTCGAGCGAAGTCTTAGGTTCAAACCCGAACTTAATGTAAACAAGGACTTAAGTATCACAAATCATATATCGAAGAAGAAGATGATGAATAGTGAGTAATTGATTACTTACCTTTGATATGTCCATGACATCTTTCATCTTCATGTTCTTACCAAATTGGTTCTCCATGTCACACATCTATAAACACACACAAAAAAAAAGTCGACATTTTAATTATTATTATTTTCTAAAATCCCATAAATATAAATGTTTACATTAAAGAAATGAAAGAACTGACCTTGGGGCTATTGACAGGAGAGCTAGCAGTGTCTTCCAAATCATCATCAACAAATGATCCATTAGTCTTCCTTTTCTTGAAACTCAACCTCTTCTTCTTACTGCTTTTATTATGTTCCAATGAAACCAGAGATGGTGCCTGGTGATTGATGTCGCAGGAACAACAGCTGTCGTTTCCATTCATCTCAACACCATCATCGTTGCCATTCGAGAACTCTTTAAAATACATAGTCCAACTACTTTCCTCAGGCGTTTCATCGTCATAGCAAGGAGGAACTAGCGTTGATCTGCTCATGGAATCCATGGGAAACTGGGAATTCCTTAACGTTAGATATAACAAAAGAAAGACCTGATAAAACCCTTGCTGCACAACTATATAATAAGTATACATATAGTGTGTATATGTTAATATATAGAGAGATAGAGGAAACAAGAGAAGAGTTGAGAATAATTTAGGATCTATGTGGGATGTGTGGACCAAATAGAAATTAGTGTTAGGGGGGAAGAATGTGTGCACCAACAGAGATTTATTATACCAAAATGTATTTGGTTAATGGGTGGACTTGAACCTTTCCTACTAATAAATTCGTTGAATCTCTCTCTTAAGTTACGTAGGTAGACCAAATGATCAATGGAAGTTTTCTTCTTACAAACTCATCCTTGTTGGATAGACTTTTTAAATGCTTAAATAATTAATTTTAAGTACATGATATAACTAAATTATTTAAGTAATCTCAGTAGTAGAAGGAAATAATATTTTCTTTAGAAATTTTGAATTCAAACATTTATGTTTGCATTGTACGTATTGTTAATGACTAAGAAAACTTTTAAATATATATAATATTGTAATTACTCCATAATATTTAAAAAATAATATAATTATATTATTTTTCCATCAATTAAATAATCTAAAGATTATTATTTTTGATTAATTATGGTTAAAAATCTAGTAATGACCGAAAATCAAACCAAAATCATGATTTGTTGGGTACTTATTGTATGAATAATTTTAAATTTTAATTTTTGATTCGTTGAAATGCATACATCCTTCCATCATTGGAAGGGAATATATCAACGTACATTTGAGAAATTATTTGGAGAATATTGACTTCGGCAATAACCAAATATATATTATAATATATCATTATGACTTTAGCTTTGGCCGACAAATTATTATTATTATTGTAATTGGATTAGACAACATGTTCATCATGTAACGTAGGCGATTTTACCAAAAAAAAAACCCTTAAAAACATAATATTTCCATTCTAACACCCATTGTCCAATATTTCCTATTCTAACACTATTTCTCATCGAATTGATCGAAGGTACGTTTCAAGATGCGCAACTTCTAAGGATTTTTGCTGACTCAATATCTCAGTAGAAAGACACGTTCCTTAAAGTATAAATCATTACTCTATTTACCTCAAATGGTTAACTCCGTTTAAAAAATATTCTAATAGTTAATCAAAATACATCACGTCACCTTAAATTTTAAATTTATTTTATTTGAGTAAATAAAAATTAATTAAAAAATAAAATAAAGAATATGTCACAAATGTCCCTCTTTTCCCACCACCGTCAGCACTATCCTCTTTTCCCAACCAACACCCGTCGACAATAACAGCTTCCATCACCATATCCCTTGTTAGTAACTTCATAAGCTTTGTCACCACCATTCTCATCACCACCACCACTTCCAGCAGCCGATTTGTTTCGATTTGCAACAAAGAAACCCAAAACAAGGGCTGAAAGGTGTTGAATTTCGTTGCTTCCATCACCATATCCGTTGTTAGTAACTTCATAAGCTTTGTCACCACCATTCTCATCACCACCACCACTTCCAGCAGCCGATTTGTTTCGATTTGCAACAAAGAAACCCAAAACAAGGGCTGAAAGGTGTTGAATTTCGTTGCTTCCATCACCATATCTCTGATTAGTAACTTCATAAGCTTTTCCACATATTCACGAACCCATGTTGCAGCTGCAGAGGACTAAATGAAATCATTTATTTTTGGTTTTGCAGTGACGGGTAGAGCATTGCCGGAGGGAAGTAATTCGACTACTAGGATGCATCGAAAGTGGAAGAGAAAACCTGTCTTGAAGATGCCAAAGAAATATTTATCGAAGAAGGAAACAATAAAAAAAGCATTAGAAAAGAGGAACTAGAAGATGATTGGTTGCCATTGAAGCAAATGATCGAATATGTACTTGGCGACTTGGCGTCGTTGAGGGCTATGAATCTTCTTGTGAAGCTTTTGTGACATGGAAGCTTCACCAAAAACTGGTTTGCATTGTTGTTTTTCTTTTTCGAACCCAAAATCAAGCTCGTTCCCTTATCAATTTCCCAATCTTGCCCGCTCTCCATCTTCTTTGTTTCATCACCAACACGTTTCTTGGATTCGTCACTATTTTTCAGCAACCATTGATAAATACTTCAATAAAATACTGAAGAATCGCTCACACTCTTTATCAAAATAAAAAACTACAATAAAAAACCAAAGCCAAAATGATAAAAATAACAAGAGATGGAAAACAATTGGAGTGCAGAATAGAGAAGGGGAAAACAGAGGTGTTGGGTCAGGGAAAGTATGGTGATGTTACGGTGAAGGAAGGGAGGAGGAAGAGGAGCAGTATTGGGATACTTTTTATTTAATTTTATAATTAATTTTTATTTATTCAAATAAAACAAATTTGAAATTGAACGGTGACGTGGAGTGTTGTGATTGGCCCCAAAATAATTTTTAACAGAGTTAACGTTTGTAGTAAACGAAATAACAGTTTAAACTTTAGGCGGTAAAACTTCCCGAAAAATACTTGAGATAACTCAGTAAAAATTATATATTTTAGGGGATAACTATGTATTTAAGTCAAAATAAAACTATAAGAACAAACATGTAAATTAATACATATTAATTTTATGAGTTAAAAAATTAATGATGTTAGTTTATATAGACATAGTAAAGTGGTTATGCCATGTTTTCTAAGACCATAGGATAAAAATAAAATAGAGTTCTACTTTTTTCTTATGTAGTCTTTAATATTTTTATTTAATCTATTAAGTTAGAGTTTTTTATTTTTATTAATTAAATATAAATTAGAGTTTATATGTAAAATTAAATATTTTTATATGTTAAAATATTTAAATATTTATTTTTTAATTATGATTTAAATTTTGTTAAGAAATATTTTGATGAGAATGTTTGAATTAAAATTAAAACTAATTAAATAAATATATATTTTTTATAATATTTTTATAAAGCATCGTCAAATTCAGTTTATTGAGAAAATTTTGATATAATTCGGAGTTGTTGATGTTTACATCGGTTGATGAACTAAACTCGTTTAATTAATAATATTTATTTGCTCTATATTTTTTCCTAGACTAATCTGCACACCATAATCCTATCTCCATTGTTTTGAAGAACCTTGGTAGTAAGCCTCAGACAAAGGAAAAAGTTAACTTTGTTTTTTGTTTTGCTACTTGTCAAATGCGAGAATGTCACTTTGTATACGATCCTTGTTAATCAATATTTTTTAATCTATAGATGTTAATGTTGAGATTTATAGAGATTAAAAACAGTTGACATATTTGCAATTGTAAATGAAGTATATAAATTAGTTTCTTCAAATGCATTCGATGTAAACATCAACAACTATGAATTATATCAATTTTTTTCCTAATAAATTGAATTTGACAATGCTTTATAAATATATTATAAAATATATTTAATAATTAATTAATTTTAATTTTAATTCATATAATCTCATCAAAACATTTCTTAACAAAATTTAACTCAAAATTAACAAATAAATATTTAAATATTTTAACATATAATTTTTTTAAAATTTTAAATATAAACTCTAATTTATATTTAAATAATAAAAATAAAAAACTCTAACTTAATATAATTAGTAAAAATATTAAAGACTACATGAAAAAAATAGAATAACTACAATATTGTAATATAAAAAACCTTGACTGGGTCCATCTAATCAACAACAGAAATATTTGAATTTTGAGACATACCATCTTTGCCATGGTATCCCAAAATAGTGTATGTTTTGTTGTCTCTTTTGCTAACCAAAAGAGTCCTTTTGGAATACTTAAACACTAAAAACCGTAGCCATTTTCAACCAAACTTCATCAATTTACTTCCCCATCGAAAATTTAACTTAGAGAAAGGGAGAATATTTAATTTTTTCCCATTTTCGATCAATTAAACACTTTTCTTTATGCCATTTACTTCAAACGGGAAATCAATTCATACATCGGTATAAATTAAATCACTAACAGATCGAAATTCAGTACCTGGTTAAAACCGTAAAGAAGAGCCGATTAAAAAATTAATTCCACCTAAAATGAGTTTAGTAAAAATTCCACACACAATATTCAACTAGTTCTGAAATTTTCTATAATTCAAATAAAAATCAGGGAAATATAAGTAAAAAAAATCGAACCAGCAAGAGAATTCCGTTGGGAGAAGTAGATTGAGTTTTGGAAGCAGTGGCTCGTTGGAAGAGCTTGTTGATATGAGAGGATAAACCCTAGCGACCAAATCCTCGGAGTATTTGTAAGAACCCGAAAAAAAATATTATATAGGTGTATTGGTGTAATTTGGTGACTAAATTAAAAGTTTTGAAAACTTGTAAGCCATTTCAGAAATTGAAGAAAATTCAGAGACCAAACCTTGAATTCCTCCAAGGAGTGTCGGCAGAACATGTTCTTAAATAATTACATTGCATTTCTAATTTCAAAACAAGAAATCCATTTGCTAAAATATACCTCCTCCCGCACCCCTACTTTCAAACTCGATTATGACGTCCGTCCATTCTCTGATCGTCAAATTGAACCATCGTGTTCATCTTCGACCCGTGAACAAAATCCAATAAATCAATTATAGCGAAACACTGTCGAACGTCGTGAATTTTGATTTAAAGTTTCTGACGTTTCGGAATCAATCTCTCTGCCGTTCAAAATTTTGAACCGAGCTTGATAAGTATCTCAAAATCCCATTAAATAATTTTAGATATTAGTAAGTTCTATCCATGGTCTATATTTCATACGTGAATTCTAGCAAACATTGTTATGAAATTAATGTCATAAAAGTGCAAGACCGTGTGTTAATTGTTAAAATCCAGTGTCATATAAACGAATTGGCGGTACCCCATTCGAAGTAATTTGTTTATGGAGACAATAAATTAAACTGACGAGGCCATGTGATGGTGTTGGCTTCTTGGGTTGATATATTATATTTAATTAATATGTATAGACAAAAATGCTTACTAAATTTCTATTAGAGTTATACGTATATGCTTGGTTAATTAAATGTTTTACTAAGAATTTTATGATTTTAAT